CAGGAATGGGAAAAAGTATGAATATGAAGTCAGTTGACTCCCTCAACTCTTCCTGAATAGAAATGTCATGCTGTTATTTTTATGGGTAATATGGTTGGCTTTAAACTTTGGGTGGAGCAGGAATAAAAGCAGGGTATGTTGCTTGTGCCCTCCCACCCCTGCTCTGACCCAGTAGCCTCTACTCAACCCTCTATGTGGCTGCTGGAGGGAAGAGATGGAAAAGAAGAAAAAAACATTTTACATTGTCTCTGTGCCTCTATTCTGGGCAGATAAATCAGCTTCCCTGCTTAAAACATAGACCCCAATTTGGAAAGATGCATGTGACATGTGAGTAAATACAGTCTCTTGACATGCTGTCTTGCCAGTCATTCTTATTGTTTATCTTCTTTGGATTTCTCCATGAGTTCTCTAACCAAAAGTTCTCCAGATAAATAAAACCTTAAAGTATGGGTTCCTATATCAGAAGATCGTTCTAGAAATCCTTTTAGAGTATGTACAGCCATTCGGGGAGGTTATATCTGGTTCAAAATGGCCATGTAAGTCAGAATGGGAGTGGGGTAAGCATGGGCTGTGAGAAGGGTTGGGAGGATTGGGGGAGGCAAGTGGGGTCCATGGGTGGTCTTGGGAGAATCAGGGAGGTTGGTGGAGTCCAGGAGAGTTTGTGGGGGCTAGCGGGATCTGCTGGGGGCCTTGGGAGGATTGAGGTGGGGTTGATAGGATTGGAGAGGCTTTTGGATCCTGCCAATCCACTTCTGGACATCCCCAGCTCCTCCAACCCACCCCCACCCCTGATGCTGCTGACCTGCCCCTGATGCTAGAAACCATTCTCTGGGTCAGCGTTACTAGTGTCTGCTGGTCCTAGGAGCCTGACTGAAGTAAATTGGGGCAGAGGGGAGCAAAAATCAGGGGGGCTGGTAGCTCTTAAGGGGGGATATGGTGGGATAAGGGGTCTCTCTCCCCCTGGGACCAGGGGCTATTTTTCACCCCTTGAACCTCCCACCAACCTTGCCTCCCCTGATCCCACCCACTCTTCCCCCAGCCCCAGCTTACTTCCATTGGCTCCTGGTACCGTTGAATGCCAGTAAAACTGACACCTAGGGCAGTTTGCGGGTTCAAGAAATATGGTGGGACATTGTCCATTTGAGGGTGAGAGGAGGGATCAGGGGACTAGAAGTAGCCCAGTGTGAGAGCAGGGGTAGGAAAGTTGCAACTCCAGAGATGGGGCCAGTGGCTGGGCTTTCCCAGCTACGGGGCTGTGCTGAGAACTGTATAGACGTTCAGTTACATTCTTGCTGGACCCAATCTAAGTTAGACTACCCCTGAGATCCAGCTAACTTATGGTAGGTCAAGTATTTTTTTAGACCAATTTAACCTTCCTGAATTTCTGTACGTTTTGCACTTAACTAGGGATACAAGTGTTAAGGCCGCACGTGGGCAAACTGATTTGGATCGGGTGGCCATTTTTGTTGCAATTTAACCTCTCCAAACGTATGCATCTAGCCTTGAAATTAGAGAGCTTTCAGTAGCTTTCTTATGAAGAGTTTGTGTGTGTGTGCAGCTATTTGTAATTTGTGATTTTTTTCAAATTGACATTGAAACCCAGAATAATTTTTGTGTATAGATAGCTATTTATTCTCTTGTCACAGGTCATTCTTAGCCCCATTTCAGGAGATGCCCACAACTGTCCCCCTCCTCCTCCAAGGCTGAGGACTTTGCCCAGGGTGTGCCAGTGTTCCTGCTGGGCCCTAAGCTGGAGGTTCTTGGCTAGACGGTCTTACCCCTCTGATTAGGGTCAGACCGATTGCCATATTGGAGGTCAGGAGGGAATTTCACCCCATGGTCAGATTGGTCTGGACTATGGGGGTTCTTGCCTTCCTCTGTAGCAGGGGGGCTATGACCCTCTATTTGGAAGCATACGTTAACAACATTTCATATAAGTAGGACATTGACTGCCATGGTTCCCCTGCTTTACCTATATCCTATGGCAAATTAGGTTGTTAGGTCTGTGTTGTGTCAAGGTTGATGGTAGCCTTATGTAGAATTTAGATTATGGTTTGGATAGGAATGATCCTGCCTTAGGCAGGGGTTTGGACTAGATACCCTCTGAGGTCCCTTCTAGCCCTACTTCTCTGTGATTCTATGAACATTCCATGACAGAAGTTTGACCATTAGGAAAGAAAAAGCACTAAAATGCTTATCATGCTTCCGTTGGCATACTACAGAAGTTATGTACACATTCGTGGCGACCATTGTTGGTGTAAGAGCTGTGCCAATATATTCACAGATTCATAGAATGTAGGCTGGAAGGGACCTCGGAAGATCATCAGGTTCAGCCCCCCTGCACCAAGCAAGAAAGGCAACTGGGGTCAAGTGACCCCAGCAAGGTGACCATCCAGTCTCCTCTTGAAGGTCTTCAGGGTAGGCAATTGCACCACCTCTGGAGGGAGCTTATTCCACAGTCTGGACATCCTAGCTGTGAAGAAGTTTTTCCTAATGTTGAGCCTGAAACGGTCTTCCAGGAGTTTGTGGCCATTGTTCCTGGTTTTTCCCAAGGGTGCCCTGGTGAACAGTTGTTCACTGAGCCCTTGATGTATGCCCCTGATGTAGCAGTAAGCCGCTACCAAGTCCCCTCTCAGCCTTCTCTTTTTCAGGCTGAAGAGTCCCAGGTCCCTCAGCCTTTCCTCGTGTGGCTTGCCATGCAAGTTTCAGATCATACGGGTGGCCTTTCTCTGGACTGTCTCGAGCTTTTCCATGACCTTGTTGAAGTGAGGTGCCCTTTCTTAAATATGATAAGAAAGGAAGTGATAAAGGAAAGGGGTGAGAAAAATGCACTGGACTGGTAGTTTTTTTCCTCTTCTTCCCACCAGTGCTACTTGGCCAGATGGTGTTCGTCGCCTTGCAAAATCCTATTTGAAAGATCCCATGATTGTGTATGTTGGAACTCTTGATTTGACGGTAGGTTATTTTTTACATAGTAATTCTTAATACCAAATTATTCTTCATTTCATTAAACTTATTGTTCAAAAATACTTAGATAATACTTTAAATAGATAACTTTATCTGGCCTTTTACAAAATGCCCATAGTGTAGATAGAAAATAGCAGTATTTTTCAATGAGGAATAGCTCTCCTGTAAAGCTCAGAATATATTTTATGACCTGTAAACAGTGAAGGATTTTGAATGAACACTGGCATATCAGCTTTTCTTAGGACAATACCCTTGATTCTTGCTTCAATAATAGTGATGAGAAATGTTTTCAAGCCACTTCATGCTGGAATTTGCTTATTACTGAATTTCTCCAAAAGTGGTTGGGTAAATGTTTCATCCAAAGCCTATGTAGTAGTCAAGGATCCATGCATAATGTACTGAACAATGTATACTTTTTTGGTTTGCTGTAATGTCCTTGCAGAATGGAAGTCTTCGTGTTATTTTACATATATATAAAAACACACAGACGCACGTCATTTTGGTCGCAGAGATAACCTCTAAGAAAAAAAACGTACCATGTTCTGAAGATTGAAGTCTTATAAATTGTAAGAGGTGTAACTTGCCCCACTTGGTGAAGTGTAGACTTAGAAGCCTAACTGTGTAAATATCAATACAGACTTCTTGACTTCCGATCACTATAGCAGAAGCTTAAAACTGGAGTGTTTTTACATGTTTGGCAAGAATAGCAGACTAGGTTGTAATGATATAGGCAGCTAGTTACAGTCAACATATGAGGTGGAGAATGAGGAAGAGATTCAAATTAGTAGTGCACCAGTAAAGATTTTTTGGGCTAATACCAGTGGCCTATTATTAACCAGCCATATTGTCCAATACCAATCCGATTGCTGATAGGCAGCCTGGCAGCTTGGAGAGCAGTGTCCGGCTGGTAAGTCTGTTTTGGGGAAGGGGTATGGGGGAGCGAAAAAGTATGAGGACACAGATTGAGGCCCTTGCGGTGAGGGAGTGGGGCTAGAGCAGGGGCAGGCGCTGCACAACTGGGGCGGGGCTTGGGAAGGAGCTGCAGGTGACTTGTCTGGGGGTGTGGGGGAGCTGCAGAGAGGGGAGGTGGCTCCAACCACTGTGTGCACCCCTGGGAGAGGTCTGGGAGCATGTGTCCCCCCGGAGCCGTACGTGGGGCAAGGGCAGGCTGCCACTGCAGGCTTGGGGCCGAGGGTTGCACTCTTCCTGGTGGGGGCCCGGGGCCCAGGCTGTGCTTGGGCTGGGCAGGGCAGCGGTGCTGTGAGGGGGGGATTACAGCAACCCCAAAATTCACCATAACCCCCTTATACCTCCCTCCCAATGCTGCCACCACCCACCCTGCCCCTGCCTGCCCCAAATCCAGCTCCCGCCCCC